CGCTGTAATTCCTCGAATCAATCCAAGGTATCCGACTTTCGATCGTACTGCATCCGCGTAGCTTCATACTGGGTACTGGGCTACAATGCCGGTAGCGACAAATTCCCAAAGATATCCTCACTTTCGTAGATCAAGCGTGCGGCGCGTGCGAGATGCTTTAGACCTGTCTATGAGGAACGCGATATTGAAACCGCGTCTCAAGGGCATGGATCGAGCGAGCTCCGTGATGTCACCTGTCCGCCCGTATACTTGTTGGGATGCCTCATCATGTTGTGTTGCTGGCCTCGTCACCCGGGTCTTGTGCATCCCATCAAATCGTGAGCCTCCTTGCTCCATGGACCTCCATTTGCCCTTTGAAATCCCGGAAAAGTCTTTGGGGGCTCGCCAGCCACCACGTCAATCTCAGTGCCAGCTCTTGCCTCTGGTCTGTTGATACCTCTGCTGAGGTTCCTACTAGTAGATATGTCAAGGTTGGCCGGCAAGACTGGCTCTGGGACAGCGCCCATAGCATCTGACTTCTGTGCCGCTTTCCGGCCCCTTGTTGCTGGGGTTTCTAACCGGGTCGCTTTGGTAGGCCTTGTGACTGCTGCTTGTTGAACGCCGTCGGACGTCTTAGACAACGAGGAGCCGGCATCAGAATGAATCCCAGCAGTAACCGGGGCTTCTCTCTGAGGAGTTGCAGTCGCGGCCGAACTTTCGAGGGGTACGCGAGGTGGTCTTCTGTTGAACGAGCCAATGATTTCCTTACTTTTCACAGTCCTTCGGCCGAGAGATGCTAACCGCGGGCCTGGATTGATGTTTATCTCTTCTATGTCGTTTTGCCGGTCCGGGCTTCGTCGAGTGTTTCGTTTCCTTAGTGTCCGCGCTGGCGGCAAGGAGTCTCTGGATGATCGAAGATCTTCCTCGTCGAAGATATCGGGCTGAGCAAGACCCTTAGCCTTAGCCATCTCGTCGGATTGATTGTGGCCCTTCACCCTATCAACCCTGACATCTGCCTCCGGAGCAGGTTCTGCGTAGCTGCCGTCCGTCGGATGCCCTGGTGAACTTTCGACAGGCAAAACAGACGGTGCTGTAAGACTAGCAGGTTCCGAAGGATCAACGTCTGTCGTGGTCTGTCCGCTTGACGGGCTTGGCCCAGTCGTGGGTGAGCTCAATTGTCTTCCTTTGTTCTTCGCGGTGGCCTTCTTAGAGACCATCATCAGACCGCGCTTTTCTCTCGTCTTGATGCGGAGTTTGGTTTTTGGTTCTTCTGGATCTGTAGCCTCATTGTTTCGCACCGAAGGCCTTTCTGGCGCCGGCACTGCTGGTATCGAAGAGGTGCTTCCATTCTCCGGGAGATATTCGCGAATTCCGGGCGCCTTCCTCTTTGCCGTTGCTGGAGCACGAGGTCGCGCAGGTTCGGGAATGGCGTCCTTGTCAGGCTGAGCATCGGTCGCGTGAGTAGCAGCTTTTTGTATGCTGTCTTGCGACTTCCCAGTGTCCTTTCTTCGGTCTATTTGCTTTGGGGCTTCGACGTGTTTCTCAGGTTGATGACTGCTAGGGCCCAGCACTTCTCTAGGTTCTTCGATGATTTCCACGTCCCTTTCCACTGATCTGTCTCTATGGACATGCGCGCTTGGTCTCTTGAAGGGCCTTTGGCCTAGCGAGGCTTCTTTTGCTGGCGCACTGGTGTTACTTGTGGCTGGAATCTCCGACACGTCTGTGATCGAGGCTGTGGCATTTCTCGCTGGTACTGCGGCATTGTCGGTCAAATCAACGACTGCAGAAGGCTCTGGCCTAGAGGGTCTGACGCTTTTGCTTGGAACAACTGGGCGAGGTGGTGCCTCCACAGAGGGAGCAACGCTTCTTGGTGTCGGTGCTGGCTGACTCCGTACTGGGGCGCTGGCTGACCAAGATGATAGATTGAGGGTTGCTCCAAACAGATTTTGGGCATAGCCTGACTTGCTGGGCGGCGATACATCTCTCTTCCTCCTCTTGGCGGGTCTTTGAGTGTCGTCCTGGGGGCTTAAAGATTGCTGAGCTGCTATTCGATCTTCATATGGCGATGTTTTTGGGATCACGGCCCTTCCCTGTGGCCCGCGAGGAGTCGTGAAGACGTCAGATAATTGGCGTTGCCGGTATTGGGCTTGGGGGTGCTGGACTAAAGGCCCTGTGGGTGGATGGGGCTGGTTTGCAGTGTTGGCAGCAGAGCGAGCATGTCGCTGTTCAACCTCCTTGGCTCTCTTGTCGAGGAGCTCAGTCAAATCTTGGCCCTTGCTACCGATACACTCGGCGACTTGGACTATGACGGCTCCGCGCTCCAAGTTGAATTCTTCGCCTTCCCCGAAGTCGAAGTCTTCCCGCCAGTGCATATCGCCGATGAAATTTCCTCTTTCATCGTAGACCATAATACGCTTGTTGAACGTATGAAACTTGAGGCGACCATCCTGCCATCTTTTTTGTTTTCGTTTCAGATCGTGGGTGAAGAGGCATAAATGTTCCAACACGGGGGCGACAATCGGGAGTCCAGAGCCCATCTGGCTGTTCTGGTTGCCACTACGGCTGGCGAGAGGCATTGTGATCAAGACGATAGCCGCGGCCAAAAGCAATGAGCCGCATGCTGCCTGTTGAAAGTGTAGAGTTTAGATGGCGATATGCATGCCGTGCCTACCCAACGACGCAGGTAGAGGTGAAGCCTGGTGGACGCGACTAAGTTTGGCGCGTGTAAAGGACCACGTGAGACGCCAAGTCACATGATGGGCACTTCCGGTGCAGTTGGTCCGGCCAGCCCCTTCCTTGCACTTTACCTAGGTAGGTGCCTCCTCCCTTACAAGTACCTGAGCTGCTGAGGTAAGGGGAAGCGAGCACTAGGCTGCAGCTTGAAGGAATGTTCCTGAACAATAAGTGCTTGATGCACTCCGCTCATACCGTAATGAAGGAGTGAAAAAGTTGACGATTTCAAATGGAATTGATCTATTGAGCAGAGAGCGCCTGGGTAAAATTGACGTGATGTCGTCTGTCAGGGCCCCGGTACGTGGGGTGGGTGTGGTAGGTTCGGACGGTGCCCGCGGCTTCCCTCCCTGTTTTCAGGGTTTGATGGGATCTTCCTGGTTCACTACGAATATTATGTATGAAATATCTAGCGACGCGTTCAGCACGCGTAAACATTGAACGAAGGGCCCAGGCAGTTCAACCAACACGATACATTTCTCGATCTCGTGGCCAGCTACTTGGTGTGAGAAGGTAACCTGATAGACTACTGCAAGCCTGCAACATGGGAAAGTCAAGGGACGAACAAGAATTCACATGTGTTATTCCCCTCAACATGGGTTGCCAATGGCCCGCCCCTCTTCCTGCGAAGTATTCGTACTTTGCCCGACGGATACCTACCTATCTTACCTTTCGCCCCTAGGTATCTGCTGAGGTATCTACCATCTCATGGCGGGGCAGATCAGGTACCGTCAGGTCCCGTCTGAACGCCAAGCGGGCTGGGTGACTGGGAATGGGCCTTGGCTGTCCTGTTGTGGTGGAAGCCGAGTGGGCTGAACCAGTGCCGGCAGCCGATCATAGCTTCAGTACCTCGCTGTACTTTAGCTACCACAGGGTCACGACCAAGTGACCGACTTCGAAGGACTCAAGTCTCACCGCCTGAGGGGCTTGGTTGCCTGCTGGTTCGCACCAAGGATTCATCATGACCGCCCGGGTTTGTGTTCCACGGGGCATAGGCCAGACCATCTGTGCCTATGGTTCGTTCGATTGATCAAAAAGATGAGAATCTCCTGGTCTTGTCCAAGGCAATCGCGGCACGGCACGCCACAACCAACCTCAGCCAATCCCAGCCGGTTGGCAGTGACTCGATGTTATTCGGCTTGGGGCTGCTCTGCCATGTCTTCGGTCTTGTTCCTTGTTTCAGTCCCCGGACAGCGACACGAGGCTGGTTCTAAAGATACCTAACTAACTACCCTGAGGTAAGGTAGCAGTGAGTGCTGTACAGAGTACCCGGCAATGACACATAGCTAAGGTAAAGAATCCATCGACACGAATAACAGCATGATATCTGTCCACTCCACAATGGCCGAGCTTCGTCTTGCGCATCCTGGGCTCTTCTATATGCTGACCCGGTTGGCTGGGCTGCCCGTTTGTGCCAAAAAAGATTGGCGTCGTAATTAATCCCGGCCCCCAAATTGCTCTGTTCCCCTCCTTGAAGTGCCAAAAACTATTCTTTCCCCGTACAGAGTATTCGTTCGTAACTTTCTCCGCTTCTACGCCCTCCCGTCCAGCGTCGGGTCTAGCCAGTCACCAGTCCAAAGGTAACCAACCCTCCACATCCCGCCTTCACGCAACCGCTACTTCAGCTAATCTCACTAGGTAGCTAGACACAGCCTTATTCGAGGCTCTTCACCCAAGTATCTACCTACTTTACCTATCAGTGCTACCTACCTCACATAGGTAGGCAGGAGCATCCCGAGAACACGGCTCGTCGGCAAGCTTGAGCCGTTGCTACTCGTCTGCCCACCGCCGCTCTCCTTCTTTACTCCTCTCAACAATCCAAACCCTCCTCTATTTCTCGACCAGCGCTGCGACATAACCTCGCCAAACGCTGCCATCAGGTCCCGGCCAATCCCTCCTTGCCATACTTCATCACTTGGTCTACGGTGGAAAAGTGTAAACATTCGCCCATCCGTCGCTCCACTTGCGCCTCGCCGGGTGTAGCACCGCACTATCACTTGTCCCCGAGATCGGAATAGTTGCTGCCTGCGAGCGAACTGCTCATCCTCAGTATGCAGTCCATGCAGAGACAATTCGGCAAGCTCATGAACAAGGGCCCCGGGGACAATGCCAAAATTGCTGCCGTCTTACACGACTACGAAGATGCAGACAAACTGCTGGTCAAGGTACCCAATTCCCACAGACCTTAGCCTGACGAGGTCTTCGTGTGTATTTGTGAGAATCTTGACTCATGGGCCCCGCGGTGCTAGATTATCGAGAACACCAAGACCCTCCGTGAAGCATGGGTCACCATGGCCACTAGCCAGTGGGCTATGGTGAAGGAGTACGAGGGCTTGTACGACCCAATTGTTGGTGCCTCGGAGGGACATGGCCGCCCCAGCGTCACGACTCCCCAAATGCAGCTCGATCGCACCTTCAAGCTTAGCGGCGCCTACTCCGATCTCAAGGACGAACTGATCGAAGAAGTGACGGCCATCGACAAGCAGGTCATTGGCCCTGCCACCGAGGCCCATGAATACATTCAGCCCCTTCGCAAGACTATCAAGCAGCGGGAGAACAAGAGATTAGACTATGAGAAGGCCCAGGAAAAGGTCAAGAAGCTCCAGAAGAAGCCTGGCAAGACGCCCAAGGAAGACGCTGCCCTGTCAAAGGCTGAGTTCGAAATGACTTGCGCATCCGAGGTAAGTACTCTATCAACCAGGTCTGAGTTCCTGCATTTGACAAACTTTGGTCGCAGGAGTTCGAAGTTGCCGATAGTCACATCAGGGAAGCTCTACCTCCGATCATTGAGGCTATCTTCACACTGATTCCTCATATTCTAGCCTCTCACGTGACGATCCAAAACAGACTTCTCGGGCTGTATTACACTGTGCTTCACAACTATTGCGAAGATCACGACTTCCCTTCTCCTCCACCCCCAATGGAGAGCGTAATATCAACCTGGGCAGCATCTTTCGTACCCATTCAAAAGGAGGTCGAGGCTATCAGTTGCATAGCGCATGGCAAGAATTGGAGGCAACCAGTAAGGGTAGGGGACGATGGGCAGGGCAGAAAGTCATCGACATCGTCAGCGCCATCACGCCAAGGCTTTACACGGACGCCTTCTGGCATCAACGAAGGCACGACACCGACCCCTAGCACGATGCGAATACCCTCAAACAACGGAGGAAGCCGTCCAACTATGGCCCGGGATCCTTCTCCTCAGCCCAGCCCGCAGTCGAGTAGTACGAATGTCTCGCGGTCTCAGCTCGGACTACCAACCGATTTCACAACAGCCACGTCTCTTGGGCAGACCCAGGGCTCCCCCAACGTGTCGCCGTCCTACTCACGTTCCCAGTCTGAATATTTTGGTCACCAATCGGGGCTCATCCCGGGGCAGGGGAGTCTGGCAGCGAAGAAGAAACCGCCGCCGCCGCCGCCAGCCAAGCGCTTCAAAGCGCCCGAAGAGTTTGTCGTTGCGCAGTATGACTTTGCTGGGGGGAATGGGGATCTGAGCTTCAACGAGGGAGACATAATCAAAATCGTAAAAAAGACGGACACTGATCAGGATTGGTGGGTAGGAGAAATAGGCGGCGTACGGGGCAGTTTTCCTGCCAACTATTGTAAGGCTGCTTGATGCGCGAGGGCAAGTTCATACTTGCCACGTATCTTGGGCGAATAATGCTGGGTAAATTTATTGTTCAGACATTGAGCAAAAACGGTCATGACGCGTTTCTTCAAAAGTGACAATTGGACAGCAGTAAGGTAGAAGTAATATCTTGATCATTTTGCCCTTCCTCCCATTCTAGTCTATATCCGCCATACTCTCTGCCTAGTCTTGAGCGAAGGGGACAAAACAGAAGAGGAGTGAAGAAAGTAACGCCGATGCGAAGATAAGCCCGCTCGAATCTAATCCCGTAACGAGTGTGATAAACGCCGCAATCTATGCAATGACAGATGGCTGCCTCGGCTTCAGATGAATCATCCACCTGGAAACACCAAACTGTTCTTTTTTTCCCCAATCCTAAATAAGAAAATCAAGCTTTGCTGTAATAACCAGAGGGTATCATAACCATGAACGATCGTCTTGACCTTGCCGACTCCATTTCGTTTCCTTTTTTTGTGTGTCTTGTCTTCCTCCCCTTGCCATCTACTGTCGTCATACTGAGATGATGTGGCCCCAGGTTGGACCACGCCACCCATCTCCAACGCCGACAAGCACTGGCATCATAGTTTTGCCACCATTTTCAGAAAACTTGCGGACCCGCTTCCACCGCCGGCGAAGTTGCTCCCTCCCGGCGGATACGGTCTTCCTCGGCCCGCAATACTCGGGCAATCTCATCATTGCGACCCCGATCGAGGTATCCGCCCTGCCCCAGTCCTCCTTCCAGATCCATCGGCGTCACGGGTCCCGGGCTTCCCAGTGGCAAAAGTCTCGGTGAGATGGGCTTGTGCACGCCAGTGCTTCCGATATGGTGTAGGCTCGTCAAGGGTACCCCATTCAAGGTAATAGTGGAGCTGGGAACCGCCGCAGTGCCTTGACTGGGTGAACTTCCAAGCACTTCGCTCGCCGCGATTCTCGCCTGGGCAATCATGTCTCGTTGGTATTGTTGGAGTTTACGGCGAACTTCCGAGTCTTGTCGTGAAGATGACTTGAAGGCCTCGCGCGTAGGAATGTGACCCTCTGATCTTGTTGACGATACACGGCTCGGAGGCCCGGGAGGCCCTATGCGGCCGTCTTGGCTGCTGTTCTGTTCGTAGTTCGAAGGGTAGTACTTGCCCATTGGCAAGGATGTATCGTGAACGCCGCTAGGGAGGTACGAAGTAACAGGTGTGTTGACGCTGGATGGTCCTGAGACGTCGACAGCGCTCATGGGAGAGAGGTGGATTGATGGCGCCATGGCTGCAGGTCGTGAAGCGCCACGGAGGTCGGCTTGAAAGGAGGAATCGACGGTGAGAGAAGAGGCCTTATGCTTAGGCAGTCGACCTTCGGTTCTGGTGGATTGAGGGCGAGAGGTAGAACCCTTGCTATCTTCGTGGAACGAAAAGTAACCACTTTGAGGCAGTGTTAGCACAAGACACTGATGTTTCAATGTCGAAACGAAGTGATACGAGAAATAGCTAGGTAGAAGCTAAGGTGGATGGACAGAAAGTGCAAAGAATAGAGAGTAAATGTTGGCTTGTTCGGGAAGGACGTTGAGGTGGTGGCGGGACGGGAAACTATCACTTACCCAGGGACGTCGCCACGGGCTGACAAAGGATCGGGAGGTGTGGGCGTGCAGGCAGGAGCCGAGTTTATCTTTCGAAGAGTACTAGTCGTGGGCGACAGGTCAAGGGGAATAGAGCGAGTTCGATTGTATCGTGCAGATTGAAGAGAAGATAGGTCGAGAAGGCATGGTGCGGATGATTCGCCTATTAAGAAGAGCCCCAAAGGCAGATTAGTCTCGAGGTATCCTCTTGAGAACCTAAGCAAGGAACATGGATGCGTAAAATTCCGATCAAGCGTCTTGGGCCAAAAAGAATAAAAAAATAACTGCGTAAGAGGAAGGAAATTACACTATGGGCATGACGCAACGGTAAGGGTCCCTTGTGGCCATGCGAGACGGGAACGAACTTTCTGGGAGAGGATGGGAAAAGGGCTTAGGGCCGGGGGTGACCCCGTCGATAGCAGAAATGAGAGTGAATGATGACGATGTTCTGCCATTTGGCGGGCAGGGTCCGTCCCGGCCGAGTGAACCAAGGCCGCCGCTTAGCAGACCAGTCCCTAAACAGTAACCCAGCGTTCCCAGCCCCTCCGGCGCCTCCCCACCCACCTCAGCCTGGAAGCATCGCAATCCCATTACTTCACCACGTCAGTTCCGCTCCTCACTCTCCGAGGGGCGCGGACCAGACCGAACACAGTGAAGGGACCTCATGCTGACACCGACGGAGCGTTTGGTGCGTCCAGAAGACAACGCGGTGGCGCGCCATCCCCACTCTCCAATGTCCCAAAGACACCACCTGATTCCAGCGGCGCAGCCCAAAGGTATGGAAACGTCAGGCATGGAAGGCCTTGGGCCTTTTTGCACACAATGCCATAGTTCTCAGGGCTTTGGTGTGAATGTGGTGATCCCGTCTCTGGTCATGCTGGAGTGAGCGAGCGAGCGAACGAACGAACGCAAGGTAAGCACTACCAGGACCTCACCCACACAACACACGCAACCATCAGGAGCGTAACATAGTGGTGGACTTTGAGAAGTCGGTGACTCGGTGTTGCGTTGCGTTGAGGTGAGGTAACTGATGAGGGGCATTGGCCACTCATTGCTCATCGGAGTCCATCCCGCCTACACATCATGGAGGCCATTTCTCCTCTTCTCCGTCTCCCTCCTCTTGACTGGTCCAGACTGCAGACTGTAGGTACTCCTGCCTCTGGCCCGACATATAGAGGGGTTTGCTCTCATCTCGGCAGTTATGGCAACTCCAAGTACAGCAGAACGTGAGGAAATCCAAGACAAACTAGTCTCAAGGACCAACTGTGAGCCATGCTACGGTGCATTGCGCCGTCGTCATTTGACCCTAGCCAACTAGCTTTCCTGACTCGTTGACACAAGTCTGGGGACCTCAGCGCTAAATCGGCTCACTGAAGCACTGGGCAATGGGCGCCAACGTCCGTCCTTGTCGGAGCCGACGTTGCGGTGGCATTGACGGCCGGGTGCAGGTACTGGAGTGCATGACAGAAAACAGAGGCCGATGGCTCAACCGAAATTAACGACAGAGGAACAGAACAACCCACAGCCCCAGATGCGACATTCAAAGGGCAGAAAAATAGCAGACACCTGGGGCAAGCCTGCAATTGTGAACTGAAAACGCATGGAATAGGCGGGGAAAGGGTCCAAAGCTGAGGTTGGAGATAAATCAAAAGTGGGAAACAGGTAAATAGCATAGAACAACGGCCTGACATATAATAAACAGTTGAAATATACCTTTGGGGGAGCACAAGTCGGGGGCCGTTGGCATCTTGACCCCATCTTGTCCTGACTTTGGAATTTCGTGCGCTGGAGTATTGAGCCCGGACATGAGCAGGTCGTCGGCGTCGGAGCGAGATCCTGTCGAGACCACCGATATATCTGAAGAGTTGGACAAGGTTCTTCCAGTCATTGCAGGTCGGGATCGCGCCCGCAAGTACGCTGGCGGTTTGAATGATCGACCCAAACTCGCCATGGTTGATTCCTCCTTTACGATGTCGATGATTTCTGATGCCTGTGACAAATATTGTTCATGCCATGTGCCGTGCCGTGTCCCTTGTCGTATAAGGTACTGGCCGCAGATACTGCTTACAACCAAAGATAGGAGGAAAATGGAAGCTCGACGGGGCTTGAGTAGATGAGTTTGAGGCCCTTGTGGGTGCCGGCGTCTGCGTCTTCGTCTTTCGTCTCGAATGAGATGTACGTGCGGTCGTTTGCTTGGCCAGCCTCCCTCGGTTTGAATTATTTGCTGGCGGGCGTTTGGGCTCCAAGGCTCTCTCTTTAACTGCACGTCGCCAGACGGGCGCAGGATCAGACCAGAGAAAGCGGGTAATTTGGTGGGTATGTGAGGCCTGTGTGGAGGTGGATATCATGTAAGAGCAAGGGCATGCGTGTGCGGTGAGGGAGACAGTAGTCGCTTTCTCGTCCCCTCCCTCCGTGTTGCAGGTGATGGTTGCGGCCTGACAGGGAGGGGCCCTCTTGCAATTGCGGAATGAATGGCTGCGATGTGCTTGGACTTGTGCCTCTGGCGTATCTTTTGTCCACGGCCGTGGTGAGTGGTAGTCGCTGTTGCTGGCTTTGAGTTGTTTCGTGTAGAAATGGCCAAGGTCAGTCGGCGCAGTCGTTCCGATGTTGTAGTTGATGAAGGAAGGACAGTAACGGATTTAAAGGCAGCCGCTATTATTAGAGTGTAATGCTTCGCTGCTTGGAGGCGTTCATTCAGGGCCCGGCTTTGGTTCAGAAACCGGCTGGGACTCGTGTTGGGCAGACTGCAGGGTCCTCTGTGTTTGAGCACGGAAGAGATGATCTTTCTGCAAAGGGTCAACAGAAATGGATTGCATCGAAGGATCAACGAAGAAGGCGCGTGGAAGGGTGTTGGTGTCTGGCTCCTGGGTGTAGGACTCTGTATCTCACATCTCATAAGGGTATCCGTAATGGTGGGTGGGTTTTGGTGGGATGGTGCGAGATGCGGAGGCCGACCAAACGGAATGAGGGAGGCAAGGGGGGAACGGTTTCGAGGGTCTTCCGTTGCTAGCTTATTAAGGGCCCGTTGACTGTTGGCCGTTGATCCAGGTACCTTATCTTGCCTTGGCCGTTGACCGTATTAGAGGGGTCCAACACCGTCCGACCCGAGTGCCGTAAAACAAGTACGTACCTCGATAAAGCTTTGGAACCTGGAAGGTGGAAGGGAACGTATTCGGGTGCCTTGGGTGCTTGGGTATGATGGAATGAGTGGCATCTTTTGATTGTCAGTCTTCCATTAACTGGATACCGTAACTAATGGTCATTTTGTCTTACAGTCGTTCTGTTGTTTGACCGTGCCATCTATGTGTATTGTCAATTTGAGCATCCATACGCGTTCTACATCCTTCACAGTTCTCTCTCCCTTCTTCTTCTGTCCAAGATCGGGCAGGCACCGTCTTTCCGCAAGGTGCCTTGGTAAAGTTACCTCTCACCTGCCTTGAATTGAAGTATGTACGTACTCATTGAATCAGACCCATCACGGTATCCGTGCGGCATTGTACATCCGCTTGGCAATTACGATGCGAATGCTAAGATAGAGGGCCACAGGGCCTTCCCGTGATAAGATCTCACGTGGTAGCTCCTTCAAAAGTAAAAGTATCTACGGACACTGCGATTTAAGGTTCCTAATTGAGCAAGTGCGAGTTACCGTAACCCTCTGACCTTCTATCCACAATCCAAAAGGTGGATTCAGCTAAGCCGTCTTATTGAGGTTGGCCATAGTCACCACCTAACCTACACTATCTTGACTTACATCAGGAGCCAAATCATCCAGCTAGCATGGAACTGCTGCCGTCGATCTCTCCCGTCGATCGCCGCCGGTTTTCTAAGCCTGACGAGAACTACATCAAGGCCGCGGGCACGTCTAGTCGAACAAGCCCTCAGACATACGAACAGCTTGGACTCCATGACCTGTCCTATCCTATCTCGTGGCCCGCACTATTCGATCCGGACAATCTCGCACATCCTTGCTCAGGTGCACTTTGAGGCTCCTATGTTGGTGTATGAGTGCCGTCAGAGTAACGACACAGCCATGGTATGCTAACCAGTTACGTCGGACTCCAGATGATACAAAGAGGAGAAGAAGGTCGTTCTTATCAATACCGATACCCATAGCTTAGAGCCTGTGGCTGCGTGAGCAGGCGAGTGGCAATATCACGTATGTCCATAGAGGTAAGAGTATTCTCCTGGTGGTCTATAACGGTGGCTACTGATTCAGACCGTTTCCATCTGCCATCCGTCCTTAGCTACTTGCGGTATCTGAAAAACGATCAAAGTACTTCTCCAGCCCAGCAATGTCATCGGAAAGGATTCGACTGTGCCACTATGCCACTTGAGGCACTTCTGGTGACGACCCACGCCAGACTGAGAGACAGCCGACGTTCGGCTCAATCGGTTCAACGCACCCGCACTGGCTAGCCGGAGTATGCGGGACAGGAACCGACCGACGTCCAGAGACCTCGTTCAGCAGTTGTCTCTTTTACCCCTCATACTTTCTCCTCCACTTGCCGCAGTACGGATAGAGTCGTGTACGGAGTACTTGTCTCCCCTACCGTCTACGAACCCTCCGCCTTCAGGCTTTCGGTCCTAGCCGATGAAACCTCCGCATCGTCGGGCGTTTATGACTCTTGACTCTGTCCCGCTGTTACCACAGGCGGGGCCCACGTTGGGAGAGGCAGGGAGCAGAGGCTGTCGTGTTAGTGTACATAACACTAGAGGAGGACCAGAGGCGGAGGGTCTTGGGATGCCCACTGGATTCATCCATGATCCAATCACCCAATGCATGTCCGGGGCTTGATCTCCGAGGCTTTGAATCGGAAGCAGCAAAAACAGTGCTGATCTTGCCGCCGATCGCTACTGTCTTCTCAAGTTTCAACAGCCGCAGGGCTGCATGTGCTTTTTAATGGGTCGACTTTTGCCCAAGGTTGGAAGCGTGTGAAAGGATACAGCGGATGCTGGGCGCCGCGAAACGGCGAGTCCTGCCGGCTCACTCTCATGCCCTGGGTCTCCCGGCCTTGGTCGATACTGAAGTCTCACTTTGCCGACTGCCGCCTTCGCTGTCGTCGGTCGCTCTGACTTTACAACAGGGAACGTCAAAGCGCACTGACTTCCCCGGGTCTTCTGTCGCTTACATCCCGTTTGCGGCTCTCCGAAGGTGGGATGAAGATCAAGCCTCAATGATGTCCGCCAACAAGTGCTCTGTTCGTTCTATATCTGACAAAGACACAGACCTCATTCCGCTGGTATTTGCGGCCCAAATCTCCAGTTTCCGAAGCGTCAAGACGCGAGGACCTCTCCGGGGCAATGGGCGTGCTCAAGATTGTTTGGCCGAATTTTTTCCTGAGGCGCGCTACCCCTCGCCAAGTCGTAGAGATAGCCAGCGACGAGCGGACTGTCAGGGTTCGCCACAGACACTACGTCACAGCGCAGCAGAGGCACGACGTTGCTTAGGTAGTGCCTGCGGGGTTGGAAAACATTAACCCTGGACCCCTTGCTTTTCCCATGTAGGACTTTTGAGGCGCCAGGCCTGGCGGTGCCTGGCAGTCAGTCATGCCGTCCACTGTATCCATTTGGTCCAAAGAGCGGCAGAACGGCTCTAGTACGCTAGATTTCAGGAGGAACACCTCCGGGCTATGCATTGCTGGATGGGGAGAGCGTTTTCATGCACCCACCGCACGGTACAGCACTCGGCTCAAGGGTTCCTTGAGGGTTTCCGGGGCCGTCCACGATGGGATGGATGAAAGGGACTGGAGGGCGCAGCATTCTTGTAGAGTGCCCTTGAAGACAAACGTTCTTGTAGGGAGGTCCGAAACTCTACGGAAGGCAGAAACGCGGGGCCGCTCACCTCCGGCAGGGACAGCTGCGCCGGCGCCGACGACGGCGCGGCGTGTACGACTCAGTCGCCAGGGTCTTCAAGGGGGGGAACACACGGTCCCCCGAGCCAGGATCGGCCCCGGCTAAACGGACGTTGCGTAGGTTTGAGGATTGTTTGTTTTTCACTAATCTATTCGCAACTTGAATCTCTGAACGAGTGTCTAGTCACCGATACAATCTCCCTCGCATCTCACGTGTACATGTCTGGAACATAGTTGCAAGGTATATGGTGACAAGTCTCATACTGCCTTTGCAGAGCAAGTACGTAAAGAGACAAACAACATTGTTTCTAAGTTAATCACGGCCGATTCGGACAACATAGTATCCGAAGACGACGACTGACTCTAGGATCTCTCGTAGGGGTTTGAATTTGGGAAAGAAAGCAAGAATACAAGATAAACCTCGCCAGGGTTTTGGTATCGTGTTTGCGGCAGAATAAAATACTCCAAAAACACCGGCCTCGTAACAACAACATCATCACTGGACCCGGAGCGGCCAACTCGAGGTATATGGGGATACCATCGTATGCGCTCTTGTAAAGCATACACACCCACACTACCCCGTTCTGAATCAACTCAGTAAAAGAGCTCTATCCGCCTCTGGGTGTTGATCCATTTTCGGTTTGCAACATCTCGTTTAGACCTTTCCACGGCCGGTGAAGCGGGTGCGGCGCTCGCGGTGTCTCCACCAGTAGGCGGCGGTCGCCAGGGCGCTGATGAGCCAGAGGAGGGCGTTGGCCAAGTCGACCCAGACGGCGTTCTTCATGCGCTGGATGCCGCTGTCGCCCTCTACGTTCTCCTTGATGTACATCTGGCAAGTCATGTATCAGCGAGGGTGGTTCGACGAGATAGAGTAGGTTTGAGTAGGGAAGTTTGGGGTTGGTACGTACATTACCAAAGAGACCGAACAGGGCGATCCAGAGGATGAAGAGGATGGCATCCCAGATCCAGACGATGGCGAAGCGCAGGATGAAGGGGATGAAGTAGAGCAGGGCCGTTACGGCGGAGAGGGCGCCGACCACGACTGCAAAGACCTGGTTTTTTTTTTATCTGTTGTTAGTTACTCGTTCTTCCTCTGAACCGTGCTTCACCCGTGACAACATCGACGTTTTTTTTTGGGGGGGTTTTTTTGGTCTCGTCGCATAGGATAAAACAAAAGCAAGACTCACCCATTTCCCGTCGGTGTAGCTCCCCTCGCTTCTGGCGCGGTTGAGGTCGACGGCGTAGAGGCCGCATACGGTGACGGCCAGGACGAACTGGAAGAAGTGGAGGACGGAGAAGGCGAGGTAGCTCGCTGCCATGCCGAAGAGGCCCATCTTGGCTATGTTTATCGGTCAACCGCTCGGGAATCGGTGAATAAGTTTTGGTAGATTCAGCTGGCGTTTTGACGACGGTGGGTAGAGATTGGGAGGTACGATAGTTGGGTTCACCGAAGAAGGGGGTCTTGGAGGGGGTCTTATTCAAATTAAGCAGCGAACGAGGTTGTTTTTTTCTACGGGAACAGGCGGTGGTGGTGAAGGTAACCTTGGAAGGTAGTGATGACACCAACCAAGGTCAAGGCAAAGCAAGGTCAGATAGAAGGGTAGCAGCGCCAGTACCCTTAGTTTAATCACACCACGTCCACGAGTGGGAAGGGCGCTAGGGTGTGGAAAGAAAGAAAGACACAAACAGGTTGATCGCCATCTTGATTGTCTCAAACCGGTCGATTCACCCAGAGTGCCAGTGCGTCCTTGGTTGGGGAAAAAAAGCTGCAAAAAAATCTGGGAAAATGGGAGTTGGTCCCCTATGACGCAGCGTGAGGCTTTTAGCGCGGACGACGAGCCAGTTAGAGACGCGACTACTACCGTTAGGCGGGTTCGCGTGGTTTGGCGCAGGGGTGCAGTCATTGCTGTCATTGGATGTCCGTCCCTCTCTAGGTAGGTAGGTACCTTGGTCACCTTACTTAGCCCTGGGAGGTCCGCTCCTCGTGGTTGAGGGCTTGAGGGCTCACTGGCTGGCCCAGGGAGCTATCGACGGGCAGGTGCCAGTCACGCCAGTCAGAGCTGCTGCAGCTTTGGAAAATCTGCACGTTGTTGCTGGCATGCGTCAGGGGAAGGCGCATCGAGGACGTCAGGTCCAGGTCGGTCAGGTACGGGATGAGATACCAAGAAGGAGGAACTCGGATCTTATTCTAGGGCCCAAGGGAATCATCCAAACTCAGCCATCCATTCACTTTGTCCAGCTACATACCACCATACCTAATGCGCCAATCATGACTTGGGGGAAGAGAATAGGTACGCACACAACATCATCGGCAACACCTGAGCAAATCACCAGGTCTCACTTCAGCTGTCCCGCTCGAGCCAGCCAGTCAGTCAGTTGATCCAAGTAGGCTAGTAGCACATTGCTTTCATGACATGGACTGGTCGACTGGGCCCGTGGTCGATGTGACGGGACCCAAATTCGACCTAGACGCTATGAGGTTTCGAGCACGTCCTTGCGCCATCTGCCCCTACCCTTTTCCCGCTGTCGTCCTTCTCAAATGCTCGTGGACGGCCCGAACCTGGCAGTGTCGGAAACAAACCTCGGACGGCACCTGCGTCTAATGATGACATGTATTATCGATCTCTCACGTTGACTCACGATGCTGACTGGTCATGTTTCTGATGTGCCGGTCGAGACTGCGTGTGAGACTGGTTGAACCGGGGCACTGGGTTCCCAGACAGATTAACATACATCTGGGTGGCCGTCATATTGTTTACCTCGGACGGGTGATATAGAAGCAACTCTGGTGTTTACTACAACTAGAAGCAATTTTCCAGTGGTTAACATGTGTTGATCTTGCTCCTGTACACCACATATTCACTCCCTCATGCAGGATACGGAAATCATTGTTAGTCAGTTCTCGGTGAGAGAGAGCAACCTAGATTAGTTGACCTTGACTTGATGCTGCTGCTTTTCCACCCACGCCCAAAGGCGCGACGCATGTTGGCCCAAAGGTGGGCAGGTCCGAGCCTTACCCAACGACATGCCTCGGATGCCGCAATCCTCCCCCGCAGAGGCCACATCCGACGATGCCCGCCTGCCGCGGTGCGCGCATCTACAGACTGCGGATACACACCACCATAAACCAGATCCCGTCCACGCCGTTGTTGATCATTTCGTCCGTCTCACAGCTTGTACATTGAACCCTCGCGCGCGCGTCAGGAGAACCCTTTCTTCAACTCGTATTACAATCCGCAAACCACACGGCACGAGAAGACAAAAAGAGACAAGATACACACAATGACGGAACCACGCCCCAAAGTCACCCTCCCCGCGCCCCCCTTCCACCTCATCCCAGGCCTCCCCAACTTCCGCGACGCCGGCGGCTACCCCGTCGACGCCCTCCCGGCCGGCCGCATCGTCAAACCGGGAATCCTCTTCCGCTCCGCCGAGCCCTCCCGCCTGACCGACGACGGCGTCGCCCGCCTCCAGGACCTCAACATCACCCACGTCTACGACCTCCGCTCCACCATTGAGCTCGAGCGCCTCGCCCAGGCCGGAACGAGCTGCGACGTCCGCGAGTGGCCCGGCGCCACGCGCATCTTTGTCCCCGTCTTTCGGGACATGGACTACGGCCCCGAAGCTATTGCCTTACGGTACCGGAATTACTCTAGTAACGGGCCCGAGGTGAGTTTCTTTCCTGCCAGCCCCTCCTCCTCCTCCTTCACCTTTCCTACTCGTCCCAGTGAGCAGAGCGGGACAAGGGTTCTCATCATCTTGTGAGAGTCATGTGAGAAAATTCTAAACCAATATAATCCGCAGGGCTTCACAAAGGCCTACACCGACATCCTCCGCGCCGCCTCGGAAGCAGACCACCCCAACGACCCCTTCCACACAATCCTCTCCCACCTCGCCTCCCCCGAACCCCCGACCCCGCTGCTCATCCACTGCACCGCCGGCAAGGACCGGACGGGCATCATCTGCGCCCTCATCCTCAGCCTGTGCGGCGTCTCGGACGAGGTCGTCGCCCACGAGTACAGCCTGACGGACATCGGTCTCCAGGACCGCAGGGAGGAGATTATCCAGCACCTCCTCGCCACCGAGGCCATGAAGGGGAACCCCGAGGGGGCCAGGCGCATGATTGGATCTCGGTATGATGCTTTTCCTTCACTCACCACCCACTCACTTTACTTACTTATACCTATGCTAAAACTCCGCCCAGGAAAGAAAACATGCTTGCGACGCTGGCCGCGCTCCGCGAGGAGTACGGTTCAATCGAGGCGTACGTCCAGAACAGATGTCGTCTCTCGCCAGAGGACATTAGCCGTATTCGGTCAAACCTAGTAGTGGATGCCGACGACGGGCGTAAAGTGGTTGACTGGGTCTCACACACAAAGTATTTGCTTTGAGAGAGAAAAAAAGGACTCATTGGAAGGAATAAAATAAAATTTCTTGCTGGGCTTGCTGAGGCTTCATCCTTTGAAGCGCGCGCCCTTCCCGCTTGAGTCCGTCGTCATATAGGGTTACATGTATATAGTTACAGTTGATAGACACAGGACGCTTTTATCCTAAAGCGCCCAACACGAGAACTGAGCCAACATGACTTCAGTTCGTCTTCTGGTTGGTTTGGGCGGCTGTCGTGAGCCCCTCCTCCTCCTTCGTCTCCTCCAGGATGCCGTCGCCGTTTGTGATATAGTCGGCAACAGGCAGTAAGGTATGGGTTGTACATGTTCAAGGCACCGACGTGGGAATCTTCACCTCGCCCTTCCTGCGGTCATAGAAGGGGACACCGTATCTCCAGCCGACGCCTCCCCTGCTGCGGCCGTTCTTGCCGACAGTCTCAACATTCATCTCCTTGAACCTGAACTCGAAACGACCGGTATCAACACGCGTCGTCTCCTCTTCAGCCTTTTCGGAACGCTTGCGCTCTCTCTCAATCAACCTATCCTCCTGCGCCCTGGTATCGGCGCGGAACTTGCGCGTCAGCTCTCTTCTGTCGCCGCCGTTGAAAGCCGCCCTCCTCATGTCAATGAGCTCCTTGTGCGGTGATCGATCGTCAATCGAAAGCATGTTTCTATGGAAGGCCTTTGCGGCGTCTTCTCTATTGAATTGCCGCGACTCCGACACGGGCACGAAGAGTTGTTGCATCGTGAGCTTGTGGACGTGGATCTCATTCACGGGCTCGTGAGGAACCTGTTGACCTCCGGTCTCCTGCTCTGCGAAAGGAGTTTGGGGCAGCATGCCCATGACGGCCTGTGCATAAGGTCTGGCCAGTGGTTTGCGCTGCGAAGAAGTTCATTCTCAAGTCAGCAAAGACTGTAGTCTAGAATGATTGTGCGATTGTAATGTAGAGAAATGTAAAGTAGCAAATCAGAGAGGCTCGCAGTGCCAAGGTGTAACCATATTGTGCGTCTTCAAGACTAATCGAATTTTGGAAAGTTGATCATCATGATGCTGGGGAGGAGGATCAATCCCATCGAGGGATTTGGGGTTTGAAAAAAAGAAAAATGTAGGCTTACCTCTGTTATCCACTGCTTCTCGATCTCCATCATCCGCACTACGGCAGCGACGCGGCGAACATCGATACCCAACTCAGCCGAAACAAGCTTCAACGACTCCTTGGCCGTCTTGACCCTCCTGAAGACCTCTTCCCTCAGAGCCTCGCTCAGCACGGGTTCACTCTTGAAGAACGGGTTCATCGGGAAGGGTTGGTCGAAGCCGCCCAAGTAATTGGGGCCCTGGCCCTCGGCATCCTGAAACCTGCTACCTCTTTTCTTGAGGAAGTCAAACATCCTATGTTGCGCCTTGCTCCTTCTCGACTGGATCGGCGTTGTCGAAAAGGCGCACCGCAATGCTGGTGCAGCGTACGCAGCATCGCACCATTTTGTCCCGAGGACCAATGGCGACAATGACGAGCCCGCTCGCGACGCCATTGTGTGTGTGAAGCAAAGAGTGTTCTTCTGGACGCAAAAGGCGCGCCTGGATTGCACCGTACTACGGCGAAGCAACCATTGAGGAAGCTTGGGTATAACGAAGTGTGGTTGTTTTGTGAAGAAGGGAGACTTTTTAAAGCTACGACTGATTTTTCCTTCGTTTTTTTAGGAGAATGTGCACGGACCATATTGTGGATAATTTGCCTTGGTCAATTGGCCTGGTGCCTTAGGACGGAACATAGAGCCGCTTCCCAGGCTCCGGTCTCCACCTACCGGTATTCAGGTTCCAGGTTATCCCGTCCCGTTTCGTTCAACGGAAGTAGGTACCTAGATCTATGGAAACGGGTGCCTTCCGTCATTTTCTCTACCGGGCAATCCTCTCCCGATTTCATAATTAAGGCATAGCCACTCATAACCCTAATATAGTATGTTGCTATACACGCAGTCGTCATCAATACATGTCTTGTCTCAGCAAGATCTCTTTTGTATGCGTTACTGAATCCATTATGATTATTCTCTCATGCATACGCGCTCTATGGTATCATTCTGCGCGTCCCTCTTCGTATATTCCATGCGGGGCATCTCTTAAACCGAACCGTTATGCCAATGCAATCAAAGACCAGTAGCCATCAACAAGGTGCAGATCCCCTGCAACAGAGATGAGCACCGAGCCTGCTGAAATCATACCTCAGAGGGGAGTCCGTATGTTGCTATCATATGTTCATTAAGCCAAGTCCCATGAGAGACCATTGAAAGAAAAGACTCCGCCTCATCAAAGGCTCGCGGTACCATCATTACTGTGGCCTTCTGCCTAGGTAGGTGTAGCGAAAGCCAATGTCGCATAGCTACCATTCCCTGCTAAAGCATGCGAGCGTTGCTGTACTATTACGCTGGCACCGCCGAAGTCATCGACAAGCGATTCTTCTTTGCCTTTGTCTTCAACGCGGCCGATTTCTTGGCTTCGGCCTCGTCATTCTGCCGAGAGAAGTCTTTCCATCTTCTCCAGCCATCAAAGTCAATGAGTGCTTGCATGCAACCCCATTCCATGACTTTCCTCTCTAACCAAACAAAGTTTACAGGCTGTGATAATCATGTAAGCATAATGGGCTACCAGGCATGGAAAGAGTAGGAATACTGACCTTGGTAAGGAAATCGTTGCAGCCAGCCGCCAAGGCCTCGTGTCTGTCACTCTGGAGGGAGCTGGCAGTGAGGGCCACGATAATGACCGGACTTTTGAAGAGCTCCATATTGGTCAACTTGTCCTTCTCCTCTGGCTCGCCATTCGGGGCTTCAGGTGCGCTCCCTGCTGACGAAGAGAAGACACCAATCGAGTTGACTCTCTCCAATCTGCGGATCTCCCGGGTGGCTTCCAGTCCGCTCATGATGGGCAGTTGGATATCCATCAGAACAAGATGGAAACCGCCGGTCCTCCACATGGTGACGGCATCTCGGCCGTTGACCGCCGTTTTCCACCTAACCTTCAGACGCTTGACGAAAGCCTCGAGCAGCTTGAGGTTGATCGGGTTGTCCTCTACGATCAACACGTTGATGGGTGGCACGCCGCCATTCAATATGCCAGCCGGCAAAGTTGGATGATCTACTGTTTTCTTCTTCTTAGGCCGAGAACTTGCTGGCCTAGGAGAAGCAATCCTGGGCGGGGGAGTAGCAACTCTTGCAGGTTGTACTTCCGGAGCGGGTGGTGTTGGAAGTGGCGGAGCAGCCGGTTGGGCGTTGGATTGCTCTGAAGTGTTCGACTGCGTCCTAGAGGGCGGTAGGCGTGGGTGGAATGAGTGGGTAGGATGCGCAGCAGCGACTGCTGCGGCCGCCATGGACTGTGCATTGACTTGATTCAGTATCGTAGGTGAGGAGGTATGGGTTCTTCCAAGGCGAGGGCGTTCTGGGCGTTCCCTGTATGCACGAGACCTCGTGCCTCCCGGGGAGGGTATTGGCGGTACTTGGCCGCTTCCAAGGATTGCAATCGAGTGCTGGGTGTGCGCTGTAAGAGCATGCGCTGGGTGAATTGGGTGGGCAGGGTGCGAGGGATGTATTGCAGGGACGGTAACAGGAGCGACGACTGGCACTGGTAGGTTTGGTGACGGCAGAGCAGCAGCGTTTGCAACAGGAGGGAAATATCCTTCGCCAGCCTCAGAGGGCCGGCCTTCGTCGTTGTAGTAGATTGTTGTAGAATGCGTCGGAGCACGTGGTGACGGTCTCGGTGTGCGCCGGGCTGGGATATCGATAACCAGAGCCTCTTCCACATTTTGGCCACCGGGGAAGTAGGCATCGAGTGTACGGCCCACGGGCTCTTCGGGGCCTAGCATACGATCCTGTCTCTGCTCCCGTGGGCATATCCGTAGTGTGAGGTCGGGAGAATCAAAATGCCTGCCCAACGAGTTGGCGTACTTTCGTAGAATCATGTCGCGCACATCATCGACCAGGTCGTCCTCGTTGACGGTGATGAGTGTGGCAGAAGCGCCGGGGCGCCTAACCCAGACCTTGCGGGTGACCATGTTTGCGATGTTGGGGAGCAAATAATCGGCGCTGGCTGGCCTAGCTTCGTTTTCGACACGTCCTTCGAGTAGGTTTCGAATTAGAGTGGTTTGACGATTGGGTATTAGACTTTGTCGTCGGGGAGGCGCTTCTGGGCGGGATGGCACGGGCGAACTCGGTAGGATGGCTGTTGCGAGAGGCGTCGGGGTGCCGAGGGCATGGCTGAGGGGATCGTGTTGATCGTCGTTGAGGTCCTCGGCAGAGACCGCCTGGAGGGTAACAGTGGGAGCCGCGCCAAATTTTGGCGGTAGTGGCTGATGCGGGTGATGCGACTGCGACAGATGAAGGCTCTGCCGTTTGTCGTCAAATCCGGGTGGGGTTTGGTCTTCGTGGATGCTTGGGAGGTTGTTGATGGCAGTGGGAGCTGCAGCAGAAGCAGTGGTTGTGGTTGTTGCGGCTGGACGTAGGTCGTTGCTGGCAGTCAGTTCGCTAGCCAAGCGTTCTTGAGACGCGGCGGGCGGCATTGGGGCCAGCGAGTCAAGGTCGAGGTCGAGGTCGGGGTGTGGCTTGTGAGCGTCCTGATCGTCCCCAGTCCTAGTCGAGGTGTCTCTGACCTTGTTGCTGGCGCTGCTTGCGGGTCTTTGCTCGGTGTCGGTATCCGTAGTAGATGTGGCAATGGGATTCTCTTCCTTTACCAAAACCTCGTCGCTGCTGAGAGGTGCATCATGACTGTTATTTTCTTCATCAACATGACTGTCGTGGTTAACTTCATGCCCGTGGCTTTGTTTTTGTTGGTGGTCCAATAGATGGGACTTGGACGAGGACGACGACTGTGGCGGGAGCTGGCCTTCCTCACTGTCGGCTTCTCCCTCTGCAGCCCCAGCAGCGGCACCCCCAGCCGTAATTGCCTTCAATTTCGGCTGCAGCAAGTGGTCGCCTGGGCTGCTGCCGGGGGGTTGTAGTGTGGTGGACTGTGGCTGTGCCTGCAGGTGATGGTGTGGCTGGTGTGGAGTCGGCGAGCGCGAGGGCAAGGGCGAGATTGGCGTGTGAGGCGGGTGCTGAGAGCTTGCTCTGGACCTGGGAGCCGAAGCGGATGCAGCGGTCGAGGATTGCCGTGTGAGACTCGTCCAGGTCCCATCAGTTGCCTGGGAGTTGTGAGCATCGCCGGTGCTTTTGTTGGAGGCTAGAGACGGTGCAGCCGAATTCCTCCGCGAGAACTTTGCCCGGAGACGAGCTCTGATATCCCCAGCAGTACCCATGGGGATGGGAGGGTCACATTCAGCGTGCGAATGGGGGCGAACTTTTTTTTTTTTTTTTTTTTTTGAACGGGACGGGGTACGACGGTACGTTGCTGAAATTCGGTATGCTAAGGTTATCGTGTCTTGCGCGTCTTGTCGCGTGGTCGCCGCCGTTGCCGTGGACGTGATGGTAGCCCGTTTGCTGATGGACTTTTGTTCTGGCGGGTCGTCTCCTTCGATGATGGATCAAATGGACTGAGGTTGAGACACGCCGAGAGGAGGAGGAACGGATGGGACGGGTGGCATGAGAGGTGGGTGAATAAGTGGTATCAGGTGCCTCCCCGACTGCGGCGAAGAGGAGGAAGAGGATGAGGAGAGGAAAGGTCGATTCTTCCAACGTAGATGGGACACGGTGAAATACGGTATGATACGGTGAGGCGAGTTGACAAAAGTGGAATGCAAGTGTGGTGAGTACTGAGTATTAAAGGGGGGTGACGGGCACCTGGGGAATTGAGAGGAAAGACAAGACAAGAAAGAAGATGTGATGAATGAGTGAGATGGACCTTGGAATACACAAGAGACCAATGAATAAGGCGCCAGAGAGAAATGAGAGGGTAATGGAGTTGAAAACTTGAGATATCCTACTCAGAGACAAGAGGCAGAGACTAAACGGGAAAAAGAAAGACGATGCAACAGAGACCAAGTAGAAATGGTGCAAGATGCCTGGCTTTCCCGTCCACTAAGTGTCAATGCGAATGGATGTGAACCGCCAGGTCAAGTCCAGTCAAGCGCCGATGGGCTGGCTGTCATATCCCGGGGTTGCGCTGTGGCTGTAAATTGTGGAGGGAGACTTGAGAGACAGACACAGAATTACAGACAGCAGAACATCCAGAGATGCCTTGACAGCCCAGTACCAATTCGCCAAGGGTAAGGTGTAATATTCATTCGTAGAGAGAGAAAGAGAACAAACGACGCGTGGGATGGGATACCCATGCGGCTGCCACGCCTTGCAAAGTACAAACCCACATGAATGGTCCATGGATCCGTAGACCATCCGTAAAAAGGTACCTAACCGGCTTCAATGTCCGGTCCAAATCCTGCTGTTTTCCCTCCTCTGTATCTCATTTCCCGTTGACATCCAACGTTTTTGCTCGCCTTCCCCCTATTAATTGGCCGTGTTTCCCTCCGCGCCTGGCCACGTCGACGGTCGATGCGCCTCTCAGCCCCACCTCCCTAATAACCAGCCAATTGGCCTGTTTTGAGCAGCCCGATTGTTCCGTGCAAGCTACCTTACTAAGTACCTTACTCCGTACCTTAGTATTGACACTAAAGTGGGTGACAAAATGGGATGCCGCTCAATACCCTCCCTATCTCTTTTTCTACTATTCCTATTACTACTACTACTACTACTAGTTACCATTATTATTATTATTATTATATCACTTTCTTAGATATATTCTATATAGAATACATAAGAATTAAAAAATAAATAAGAATAGAAACAGAGCTAGGTACTTCGTGTTGGGCGGCAAGCCATTGTTTCACCCACTTGACGTTTAAGAATTGGATATGGAAATCTAAAAGAGCGGACAATTCCATAAAACGCCCTATTAACTACTTGTGCAAGGACGAGTGCCTGAGGATACCTTCGTTCATCAGCCACAGACCAGGTTCCTTTAGTACGTGCCCTTCCATCGAGATCTTGCACCCGCCGCCTCGCCCGAAATCAAGGATTAATCGGCCGGTAGGCACAATGTCGATCTTCGGCAAGGTATCCTGCAAGTCGCGAATTATTTCGTGGGGTTCTGCAAGTTATCAAGTCGTGCGAGTGCATGTTGTTCTGCAGCCATGTCACCGAAAGATGTACTCCGTATTGAAGATTCGCGTTTGACAAGTGCTTAGGTACCTACTTCGCGACCCACATTTTAAACAGTGACATCTTTCATTGCTGAAGGTATCCGTAATCAGACACAAACATCTACGGATACAATTTCATCCAACCCACCTCATTCTCTAATACCATTGTCAACGGACCTCGTCTAGCGTCAAAGTTGCCTCAAACCACAGCTGTCATATTATTGCATAGCACTAATATTTGCTCCCGGAAGCACTTGGCTTGACTTAAAGATGCCCTCCTTCACAGAATCCGAGCATCAGCCGCAAAGTCTACCCTTTGAGAAACCGACACCACGCCCACCCAAGTCGCCAACAGTAGCCAACAACATTCGGTCTCGCAACCGTCGTCGAGAGTATCTCGAGAGGAATCCAAAGTACTTCTCCGACGCTGAACACGAGCTGGCTGGTCCGTCTCTTCGCATCCCCTTTCTCCCTCTCTCTCTCTCTCCCTCTCTCTCATGAGCGGTCTTAGTGCTACCGCACATTGCGGGATCGTGTTTGCTTCATCATCAGCTCAGATACTAACATTCCTCCCAGACCCCCTATTATATGACAGCTTGGTTCGCAAGTTTCAGACGCCAGCCGAGCGTGAGGTCGAAGGCAAGGCCAAGGGCTACTCAGGGGTTTTAGAAAGCTCCCTGCTCAGAGGCGAGGCTCGCCTAGCTGACTTGAAGTCATCAACTGATGACACTTCGACGGCGGAGCCCGCGAGAGACTTCACAACCGAGGCCGATCTTTCCAAGACAAAGACAAAGGAAGAAGGCCTTCAGAGATGGCATGAGTTTCTCACAGAACGTTTTGTCCGCGGCCATGACGAGGATTTCGATTACAGTCTGATCGACGACAAGGAAGATTACGACGTCATGGAGAGACGTGATGCCGAGGAAGCCTGGTTCGACGAAGAAGATCCCGAATGGGCCAGTGATGCAGACGAGGGAGTTGAAACCACACGGGGCCAGACTGGTATTCAGGACTTTTGAACGGCTACAGTAAGGCGGGCAAGTCCGGACCAGGACTGCCACTTGCCTGCGCATCAAGGAAGGGGCCATGGGAGAATCAGAACCCATGATGGCGAGCTAATGTGCGCTCGTCATTGGCAGTGCAGCATTTGAGACCCCTTTCCAAGAGTCGCACCACTGCCACTGTACTTCTGGCAGTTAGGCTGATCTTGCCATGCCTTGATACAAATGCTTGGGTGCAACTGAACCCTATCTCAGCAGCAGTCGGGAGCAAGAGGGAGGACAGCATCAATGACCAGGCCTTGGGCCTGGAGAGGACGCACCTTGACGTCCTCACCTTGGACTTCCATACCTTTCCATCCCACGATGCCAACCAACCCGGTCGATCCCTTCTACAAACCTTGCTGACGCCGTAGTGGAAGGTCCATAGGCGAACGGACCGCAACATTTCCCAATCACAAGTTCAGCGAGTCACCTTTGGCTCAATGGTAAAAGCGTCGGCGTTGCGTAGTCATAGGATCACAAATACTACCAATAACCCACCGACGGGGTTCGAGTCCTATACTGACTGCCTTGTGATTACGGCGGTAAAGCTCGGGTAGCGCGGGGTCTCGTCCTGAAAGGGACCAGATTGAGCGTCGAACGAATTTTTTTTGGCAGTTTTTGGCATCGATTTAGGTATGTTTTGGTGATGGTATGATTAGTTCAAGAGGAAGTACTACCTCATGCCGTGAATATGGCTTCGCCCAAGACAAGATAGCACAAGAGACTTTTACATCTCCTCAGGGGTCTACGGTTAGCCCACACCAGCATCCTGCACCTGTACAGCAGCGACCAGGTTCTGTCCTCCAACTCGTGGTGCGGGTGGATGTGCCCAGGATGGGGTAAACCGGGAAAATGCGCTGGGTAAATTCAAAGGCCGCTGGCTAGTCGTCCCGTGTTCCACTCTACCGGGCCAACATCATCACTTTCACATTCATCCACGCGCCTGAACCCTTTTGATGGTGGAGAATCCTGGAGATCAACTTTTTGGCATATAAACGGTTGCCTCCCAAGGCTTTCTATGTGCCCATCGATTTTTGCAGAATCTCCTTAACCGTCTCTTCTCGTTGCAAATCGGCATCTGCAACAACATCCTATCTATTCCCCCAAGGTACCCCAAGTGGCATGCTTGATTTCTCCATTTGACCCCAATTCCACCAAACACTTTCAACACCCCGCATTCTCTCCCCCGCACTCCCACTTTCTCCCCTCGCCCCATCCTATCCCACACATTCACACGATGGCGCCCCTCATCAACCACCTCTACACAGCCGACCCTTCAGCCCACGTCTTCAACGGCAAAGTCTACATCTACCCGTCCCACGACCGCGAAACCGACATCAAGTTCAACGACAATGGCGACCAATACGACATGGCCGACTACCACGTCTTCAGCACATCCTCCCTAGACCCCCTAGAACCCGTCGTCGACCACGGCGTCGTCCTCAAAACCGAAGACGTGCCCTGGGTCTCGAAGCAGCTCTGGGCGCCCGACGCCGCCTACAAGGACGGGAAGTACTACCTCTACTTTCCCGCCCGCGATAAGCAGGACGTCTTCCGCATCGGCGTCGCCGTCTCGGATAAGCCAGAGGGGCCCTTCACACCGGACCCGGAACCCATCCGGGGCAGCTACAGTATCGATCCGGCTAGCTTCGTTGACGACGATGGCCAGGGATATCTGTACTTTGGTGGTCTATGGGGTGGTCAGCTGCAGTGCTATCAGAAGGGTAACGAGGTATTCGAGAAGCAGTGGCTCGGCGCGCAGGAGCCCAGCGGCGAGGGCGTCTACGCGCTGGGGCCCCGCGTGGCGAAGTTGACGGGCGACATGCACCAGTTCGACGGTGAGGTTCAGGAGATCCAGATCCTTGATCCCGAGACGGGCAAGCCTATCCTCGCCGACGACCATGATCGCCGGTTCTTCGAGGCGGCGTGGCTGCACAAGAGGGATGGGCTGTACTACTTTTCGTACTCGACCGGTGATACGCACTACCTCTGCTACGCCACCAGCGAGAGCCCGTTGGGTCCTTTCACGTACGGGGGACGGATCCTCGAGCCCGTGCTGGGGTGGACGACGCATCATTCCATTGTCGAGTTCAAGGGCCAGTGGTGGCTTTTCCATCATGACTGCGAGTTGAGCAAGGGCGTGGATCACTTGCGGTCTGTAAAGGTCAAGGAGATCTTTTATGACAAGGACGGCAAGATTGTGACGGAGAAGCCATAGTGGACGGGTAATAGATGCAAAGAGCCTTGGAACAAGAAAAAAAGTTGGAAAAATCTTGCGTCACTTGTATCATCAACGACTTTTGAGAGACACTTATGTGTTGACGGATATTTTGAATTGATTTTCATTTACATCCTAATCATCTCTTCGCAACCTAGACTCTTCCTTTGACTTCCGTCCCAAACTTTGTAGATCCTCCTACATGAACCAGGCTTGAATAGCAACTCAACATTTGAATAGAGCATATAATTATCTCACACTCGGGGATTGGGGGGTATATTGTGTTAGATCGGAACGTTGTGTCCCTGACAAAGGAAATAAAAAGGGGGTGTTGTGTTCGTCATGTTTGTTTGTTTTCCTCTTGTCCAGAGAAGAGAAAATCCTCCCCATACTGCTTCTCAACTTTCAACAACTCCAAAACGCAACTTATTCAACGCCTCTTCATACTTGGCCGGGCTGTGATCAATCAACATGCTCGTACCGAACCGCACCTCCCTGAAGCGCGACTCGACGTCCCTAACATACTTGAGCACGATCCGCTGCGCAGGCCGACCAATAGACTCCTCATCCGAGACGAGAAACGCATCGCGCCTCAGCACCCGCTGACTCTCCACGATAAACACCTCACCCGGCGGCAGCAGCTTCAGGCTCATCATGCTAGAGCGCAGCGTCGTCAGCACCGAGATGCTCCACTTATCCTCGTCGGCGGCGGCCATGGAGGAGGAGGAGGAGCGGGAGCTGCTGTTGGTGTACCACTTCTCCGCCAGCCCGGACTGGAAAGCCTGCCATATCCGCTGGCGGACCTCGACCTTGGCCTCGTGGTTGTCAGACTTGAAAGCGAGGGCGACGGCCTGGAAGTCGTGCAGGACGCCGAGGGAGAGGAAGGGGACGAGGTCGCAGCCGTGGACGACGCTGGTGACGAGGCCGCGGGTGGCTTTGCGGAGGGCGGGGGACATTGTGCCCGGCGGGCCGTAGGCGTAGACGTGGATGGGGCGGCCCGAGGGGAGGCAGACGTGCGTGGTGTCTGCGTCGAGGAGGCGTCCGTCGCCGAGGAGGCGGCGGTGCGGGTCCGAGGTTGTGACGAAGCCCGTGCCGGAGGATGAGGGCTCGGCGAGCATGGTGCCGAGAAGCGCCGTGACGCCGCCGCCGAGGGAGTGGCCGCACAGGACGAGGCCGTAGTCGCTAAACTCGTCGAGGGCCTCCTTGAGCGTGTAGAGGACGCGGCCGTCGCCGCCGTAGAGGAGGCGGCGGGCGGAGGCGTGGATGCCCTTGTGCACCTTGTAGGACTTGCCGCGCCAGTAGAGGTTGTCGTAGTCGCAGGCCATGTCGGCCAGGACGTCCTCGAAGCCGAGGGTGCCGCGGCACGCGAGGACGACGGCTTTGGATTCGTGGTCGAGGGAGATGTAGTGGACCAAGGGGACGCCGGTGCCGGTCGAGCCGGTGGTGTCTGATCCGCCCTGGGCGTCGACGAAGGAGGCGAGGAGGATGCTCGTGGATTCGGACTCTGTGTGGTGCGCAAAGGAGCGGATCTCGTGGTGTGTGTCGTCCAGCGCCTTGATCAGGGGCATGTCTTTTGAGATACCCATGAACTTGAGAAAGTTGGAGCCGTATGACGCCGAGGAGAATCGCATGTATCGCGTGATGTTTCGGAGCAGATGGAATGCCGGGAAGACACCATCCACTGTGCCAGCCCGCCTCAAGGTGTCGATGGCCTCGGAGTCGGTGTATGCGCTTTTTTGATAGTACGAGGATAGAACCAGAGACGTCTGAGAACCAGTATTGGCGATGCTGTAGAGACTCGGCGTGTTGACGTGGGAACGTGCCCTCCTGGACTTCATCGGCGATGGCGGCTTTTGATCGTTCATGTCCTTCTCTGACCGCGACTTGGGGATGCTAGGCTGGCCTACACCGTCACGTCGGCCATACACGGGAGATTGGGGCCGATATCCGTCAACGGCGTGGAAGGAATAGGTATCCGTTTGGGATACAATCGAGTCCCGGCGCCGCTCGTGTACGGAAATGTAACTGGCTCGCGAAGAGCTGCGAGGTACAGGCGAGGGGTTGTCGTATTCCCGGCCTCGTGAGCTGGAGGCAGCAGTCGGGCCCATGGCCCGAGTCTGGGACGGACGGCTCGGCTGGGTGGAGGTGCGTGTTGTACCATTTCTTGCAGAAGTCTTGGCCGGCTGCTTAGGTTTCCCCACGGGCTGCGAACTGCCAGTGCCGGTTCCTTCTCGATGAAAGAGGTTGGAAATGTTTGAGCTGGTACCCCTTTTCAGAGCTTGTCTGATGCCTCCCTTTTTCTCGGTTGTGGGCTTCTCTGATGGTTTGCTGCTTGGCAAGGGCTCCCCTTTCGTCCTCTTGGGCTTGGTCGCTTCAGCATGCGAGGAGACGGTACTCTCCTGACGTGCTCGCACTGGCAAGGGGCCTAGGGGCGCGCGCTGTCGCTTTTGGTTTGGCGCGTTCTCGGGACTCTGCTTGGGCGTCGGGATTTGAGAGACTCGACCGCCGGGCGAAGTCGAGGGGAAACCAGGGCCAACCTTTGCTCGGCGAGGGGTCGGGTTGGATGTCACATCCGGCCTCGAGATGCTGGCTGGGGACGAGGTCAGCGCCTTCTTGGGTGGTACGGGTGGCGGTTCGTCCTTTTCGTCGTTTCGACCGTATCCATCCGACTCCTCGGTGTCGTCCAGCGATTCCACTTTTCGAGAGTTGTCTTCCGCCTCCTCGAAGCCTTGGATCGTTGTGTTTCGATGTTTGCTCTTGTCAACTCTGTAGACGACCCGATAGGTTGGGACATCA